AAACTATCAGGTATGTGCAGTGTCATATGACATCTATGTACCAAGTTTCATTGAAATGTGATGATTAGTACTTGAGATATCAGTGGAAAAACCGAAAATTTACTAATCATTATGCAAATTAGGTAATTAGTATCCATGGATTATTACCAAAAACAAATCAAAACCTAGCATTAGTTCAGAGCATCTATGTACCAAGTTTCATCAAAATCCAATGAGTGGTTGTTTAGATATCAGTGGAACAGTCATAGAACAGCTAAAAATTAGCTAATTATCATGCAAATTAGGTAATTAACGAGCATGGATTTTTACCAAAACCTAATCAAATCTGCGCATTGGCCCAGAGCATCTATGCACCAAGTTTCATCAAAAACCGATGTATGGTTCTTGAGATAGCAGTGGAATAGTCGGACACACATACACACACACATACAGACACACTAACTGCAAAGACTCCCATTTTGTGCTTCGCACATGGGAGTCAAAAATCTGAGAGAGGTCTGCCCAAGGTACATATACACCAAGTATCAAAGCAATAAGAATTGTATTTTTCAAGAAGAAGTCAAAAAAGTAAAAGGTTGACACGGACGATGGACAATCACTCATATAATAAGCTCAGCTTGACAAAATCCACAGTGGAGCTAAGGTCCCTTAATACCGCACAAGGTTGCAATAACACTTGAATGAAACTGAATTTATATCCAGAATTTTGGCCAAATTGGAAAGAATTCTCTAATTAAATACTGGTAAGTAATTAGGAAGTAAGTGCAAAGTGAAAGGTGCCCGAAAGCAAATGAAGAATTTAATCTGACCTACCTACCTGTTTTTAAAGAACATGTTATTGGGTCAACACAATTTTGTTTGGCCTGATATACATTGTATTGTACCTCTTTTTCTGAATGTTTTAAATTATTTCTACCATTCATACATCAATTTTTTTTTCATGACAATCACATGTTTTTGGAAAGAAGGACATAGAATAGGAATAGAAATAGAACTATTTACCAGTATACATGTATATGGTGGTATATGTAGAACTATACTTACAAACACAATGTATCAGATTTCAGCAATGACGCTAAAAATGTAATCACAACTCCAGCTCCACAACCAACTTCTACACATATTAAAGGTCTACAAGAAATAAGATGTTAATTCTAAGTTGAATGTTAAAGTCACACGTCAGTAGTATTTAATTTCACTATACTGGTATATGATCATACTCACTGGATTTCAAATTTCACAATTTTTTTACTCAAATTCCCCGAATTCAAATGTAATTTTAACATTTCAAATTTCACAATCTTTTCGCTGAAATTCACCAAATTCAAATGTAATTTTAACATTTTCAGGTGTATTTAATTCGGTGGATATCACTTTTCAGCGAAAATAGTGAAAATGAAACATGAATCTGTTTACTGCACTTATTAACAGTCAAATCTATAAATGGGACTGGCTTCTTTTGATCTTCAAATGTAGCGAAGAAGAAATGATTGCTAAATACATAATTGTAGAACTTTACTGAATTTAAGAGTTACTGAATAATCCAGTTACTGTTGTGTTAAGATAATATTTGAGTTGAAATATCCTTCTACAATGAGCACAACAAACATGTTCCCTTCATGTTTATAAATATTCAATGGCAATCAACAAGCACAGCATGCAATGACGACAGAAAATGTTTCAATGTTATTCAATAACACAACAGAAATCTCTGTTTTCAGTTTGAAATTTATGAATATTCACAAAGATGCGACAAACGGGCTTGTTATGCTAATAGTACAAGTCATGATTTTTCTATGTTTATTACTTCCAGTACTGATTGTGTTCCCAAACTTATTTGTTATTAAAAAGCGCCACCTAGCGGTAGTAATAATAAGTGATAATCACCGATGCAGGAACCAATTCCTTACAATTAAATTCAAAGTCAACACAGCAAGGTGGCTGTGGTGGTATTCAACAAAGTTAAATTGTACATCCCATTGGAGATTATTATTTAATGAAAAGCTGAAAGAAAGCTAAAGCCGGTAGACGATAGATATACCTTAAGTTTTGCAATGTTTCGAATTCCTTTTCCAATGCATCCAGGAGAAGAAAGGTATCTTCAGCTGGCTCGTACACTAATTGGCAGTCTTGACTGGTGATGTGTGAATAATCAGGTGTTTTAAACATTCCACCACATTACTTGGACGCATCGTGTAAGTATATGTCACATGTGCCAGGTCAAGGGTGAAAGTTCATCGACTAAACGGAGTACTTAACTAGATAATGAAATGTCCAATTGTTATTTTACGAGATCACGAGAACCAGTCACAAGTGTGAAGATTGAAGTCAGGTTTTGTTTGCTAATATTCACACATACTAATATCACTGCAAGACGTCTCGATGATAAATGTACGTCATAATATTTTAATACACGTGGCAAAAACTTCCACGTATACCGATGTATAGCAAGTTAGGGCGTCTCAATAATGATTGCAAATATGGCGACCATAATCTGAAATGAACAGGTTAGAAATCACAACAAGTGAACATGGAGAAGAAACGAGAGAACTCCGCTGAGACTTTTGTTACATGGATAGAAAACCATAGTGTACTTGAGAAGGCAGCTATTTTAAGTGGATTAGTGGTTCTTGTATCAGTTTTGGTAGGATGGATTACCTTATTTATTGTGTTCGTAGGAGTACTGCTTCTGGGGGGATGGGCTGCACAGTCAGTTATAACGTCGAATCAAATTTGGCAATCTGATAAAGTACTCGATCTATTCAAAGTTTTTGAAAACGGGACTCAAACAATCCTTAAAAGCGATGCCACATATACAAGCGGTTCAGAGAGATCGATAAATTCAGAGCTGAAACAGTTTGTGCAAAACATCATGCATGATTTTATTTTGGCTTGGTATGTTGAACTCAGTGATAATGATCAATGTACTTCAGAATTATTCAGTCACTTAGAAGATATTTCCGTGGATATTACAAACAGGCTATCTAAAGTCAGTCAGCATGCAATCGCTGAACAGTGCCTCCGCCAGTTTCATAAACACTACCATGATTATAACCAAGCAAGGACAAAGCTGGGAATGTCTTTATCTCCTGCCAATCGAGGGTCACATACAACAATTTCCAAGCACGAAATTGTAGATACTTATTTTACAGTTACAGATGAACATATCGCTATTAAGAATTCTGATTTTGAATGCCAGTATTTACGAAGTATTGTTAAGACTTTCATGAAGTTGGTTTTCCCAAAAACTATGTACGATTGTAGGGCAGGTAGAAAAATGCTACAAGAAATTGTAACTTGTAAGGTCATTCTTCCCATTGTGGATTTATTATCGGATCCAGATTTTATTAATAGAGCAGTTTTTAAAATACTTTCTGATGGACCAAATCCAAAAGTTAAAGATGAATTGGACACTAGGATTTCAACCAAGGGTAAGGAAAAAGACCAATGTGAAGAAGGTTCATCAGGGATTACTCAAGACACAGACTTAAAAGATAACAGAGACCTACAATGTAGTTTAACCATGAAACAACAAAATTCAAATGAGTCTTCTGTTGTTGGAGGAGCTACAGAAATTTCTATGATGTGCACTCCTGAACCTAAAAATGAAGGGAAAAGTTGCAATGCATACATGTATAAATTAGGTGTTGGGGAAATGTCATTGAATCTCAGTAACCATGAAGATATGACAGATGGAACTTTACAAATGAAGTCACCAACTAGATCACATTCTCATCCAGCATCTCCTACAATGACTAAAATCACAAATTTTCCCGGTGAAGCAAGATCAAGTCCATCCTCACCAACTAGCAGACATCCACAAAGTCCAGATTTGTCACCAATAAGAAAATCCAAAGTAGCTACTTCCCCAACTTCACATGGTTTGAAACATGCAAGTAGTAACTCCTCACTGGATACCAATTCACCATTTGAAGATATTGATGTTGATACCTTATTTACAAATAGTGGCAAGCCATTAATGAGAGGACAAACCCTTGATGATTCTTTTACAAAACTTCACAAAAGAGTGGATTCAATCCAGCAAGCCATTTATCACAACTTGTGTTTTCCCGGTTCTGAGATAGCTACTGAGTACAGAAGCAGTAAAGAGTACACACTCTATCTCATACAGGTATTGAAGTTTACTTTTTTCACTGAATTATGATTTCTGTAATATGTTTAAATTAAGCAATCAATAACAATGTAAACTTTGAACCCAATATATATTAGGGATGTTCTCAAATAAATTGACAAAGTTTGGAAGTATTATATGTTTGACAGTTTGAAAACATCCCCTCCCCCCAAACCATATGAAATACCTTTCGTTTTTTGCTAAACTTTGGCAATTTGAGAACACTTCCAACTGGAAAATTACCGATATGCACATTTGACTACAATAACCCAACAAAATGTCCATGGAACATTCAAGTAGTTTAGTAGAAAGTTTGTCTGCATGTATTTTAACACTATCACAGTATTTTGAAGCATGCCCTGTGATAATTAACTGGTTTCTCTCTACATAATGTATGGTTACTCATTACCTGTTGTAATGTTCATTGATGTCACATTTTCCATCCTCTTTTATTAGTTAGACCACCCAATTTATGCTAAAAGAATATTTTTATTCTGGCAATTCAACTACCAGTGATGGATTGTCAGTATTTTGATGTATAAATTCACTTTGATATTTTTTTTTGTCAACAAATCAATAAGTCTATTGTTTTTTTTATTTGTGGACAGTATGAGACACTACGCAGCGGAAACTCATCAGATTCACCCAAGTATGATGTACACATGGTAAAAAGAAGATATCGAGAGTTTCTTAATTTACATAGTAGATTAGAAGACAATGCACAATTGAAAAAGCATATCAAAGGTATTATTAACTCACAATTACATACTCATATTATTATGAGGTTATTTAATACGAGGATACAAAAAGTATGCACGAAGACAGTACAGCAGGAGTATCGACCTACGCGCAGCGGAGGTTAATGCGACAGTGTACTGTCGGAGTGCATATTTTGAGGTATCCTTGTAATAATCTTATTAATATACTTATTTTCCTTCCAAGGATACATCAGCAAAAATTCAAAAAGTTTAGAACAGAATCAGCAAACTTCTTTGTGTGAAGTCCGTTCAAACCCTGGTGGCAGCCATGTTTGTTTTTATTATTAGAGAATGCTTATGTCACACGCAACGTAATATTACCGTAATTGGTATAGTACAGGTGTGATGGTTCAAATACCAAAATGGCAACAGTAACATAAAAACTTCCCTGGCGGCGATGATAACATACGAACACGGAGTCAACAGATGAGGTTTCAACTGGTACTGGTATTATTATACTCTGCAAACATCAAGTACAATAACTCGGTAAAACTCCAAACCTCCAATAACTAGATACTTAAACTCCAACACAATTCAACGAGATCTCCGATCTGAACTCGGTGCTGAACAACTCCCCTATATATACCCACACTGTCTATAAATAGACCATTACATCAGCATACATAATGAGTCTGGAACTTACTACAAATTTCTAGAATGTTCCATTACCTTCTATTGCCTTCTACAGTGCCCTATTACCTATTCAACCAACTTCTAAAAATTCCACCCAGACACAGTACGGTTCTAGAACATTCTCAGTCACACGGAAGTGGTAAACAAGTCGTATGCGACAGCTTACATGCGTAATAATTCCTTATTTGCAATTCGCATTTCCTAATATGGTAGAATGAAAAATACCACAAAATTACAGCACGCAGCAACATGCAACTTGTATTGTTATGGTGACAGATGTATAATAATACATGTTATTATGAAAATGCTAATATTATACATCTTTCTGATCCAACCAGTCCACAAGCCAAAAATTGTTATGATATGGTAGGTAAAAATTAGTAAAATGTTTACTGTTCAGAAAGATCATGTAATAGTTCTATACTGAATGTGTAGGTTGTGGATGCCTCGTGCAATAAACGAAATTACCGGTACATGTACATGTTTGCTAGAATTAGAAAAACAGTAGATTGCACTATGCTAATGAACATGTTTTATCAAGTATTCAGAGAGCACTTCACACAACAATTCCTGATAAACATTTAACTTATGAATGAGTTTGTAAACATAATTTTAATATTTAGACAGAAAAAAATAAAAATTTGCATGAACACTGCATATTATAAAAGATTAAGAAAAATATGAATATATTATTAGCCAAAAAACAAAATTTCCCAGCCCTTCAAAATTCAAATGGGTTACCGCTATGTTGTATCCGACAATGACTCTGTTAAATTATATTTGCATACATTTCATTTCACAGATGTGAAAGAGCCGAGTCGACTATTTACATTGCCAGTTGGAAATATGAACAAGGAGTATGTTGAATACAGAAGACGATTTCTTGAAGCTTATATTTTGGTAATTAATGTGTTTTTTAATGATTTCCGGTCGCCAGTGTGCCCCTAAACCCTCTGATTTGCTGTAACACAACTAGTTGCTAATTCACTGGTGCGTGTGTTTTTGAAAAACATCTTATTAATGTTGAGTTAGTAATTTGGTAAAATAAAATTCACATTTCGTAATAACAAAATAAGTTCAAAAAACAAAAGAAAGTATGGTATGATTTATTACAACTATGTAAACAAAGCTGTGAATAGTGATTTATTGTCTTTTTGTTGAAGTACATTAATTGCGTTCACAAACAGCTCCTTAGCACAGGCTAAGATGTCAAATTCTTTAGCCCGTGCTAAGAAAACGTGCGTGAACGCTTAGCAGGGGCTAAGGAATGCTAAGTACAGGTTAAATCTGATCCGAATTTAAGACGCGGCCTAGACCCTTAGCACGGGCTAACGAAGTGTGTGCGAACGCTTAGCCCAGGGCTAAGCGCCCTCTGCGGCGACTTTCCGGTGTAGACCAAATAAATTTGGTTCGCTGTCTACGGCATGCATTAATAAAACTCTGTATTCTGTTACGCCGTTGTATACTGTTTCTGTGCATCCAAATAAGTTGGGTCCGTCTTCTCTCGCGTTCCTGTGCATGTCGCTTCAAAATTAGAACGTAACATGTCAGCAGCAGAAATAGAACCTCGCGCGTGTTCATTTTTCGTTCGTAAATAGCGGCTTGCCAATGGTCACCAACTGATGGTGCCCCTTAGCTCGTGCTAACGACTGGCCCTCCCTGTGCGTGGATGCAATTGGGTCTAGCCGAAATGCAAATATGCTAGATAAGCCTAAATCAGCTTGAATCTTAGCTCGTACTTCGTGTAACGTGAACACAACTATTGTATATTGTAAACACTGTTGAACTAAGCACATTGAATGTTTTACTATGTTTGTAGGGTTTGTTGGGTAAACCAATAATACATACCAGTACTGAGATTAGAGAATTTCTTGCATATGAGTGTGATACTCACATTGAGTTCGTGAAAAAAGCACCAGAGATTGTTCCCAGATTGGACAAGGTGAGTAACTAAAAGAAGCTGACTGAGACTATTACAGAGAGAAAAAACATTACAGTGGACGCAAAGTAGATTTGTACGGCTAACTTGCAACTTGACTTTGGAAGTGCTTATCAATGTTCCAATAACTTTGCCAGACAGTTTAAGCGACTGCAAATAAGACTTGTATGGATAGTTTTTAACATTCATTGTAATGTTGCAACAATGTTGCAATATGAAAACAGACAACAACTTAGCTATAGTACGTATCTAGACAAAAATTAATTGGTTCAAAATCAAGCAAATTATATTTATAACATTAGATAGCACCAATAAATAGTACTTTGCTATATTGCAATGTTTCCTAACTCCATACAAATCTTGTAATCTTCAATAATTGATCTGTAATTCAGACATTCTTGCATGCTACTATAATAACCTGTACATCTGAAAGTTTAGTATAAGTGATTAGGGTAGTGTGTATGTCGCATGCCATACCAATGTTTGTCTAAATGATTGCATGATGGCCAATTTTGCTGTTGTGAAAAGGAATAAAGCATCACTCTATTTCCAATGACATTATTGGCAATCTCTTTACTTGTTGTGTCTTTGTAACATTTTAATTTTCATAATTATTATTATATATTATTATTAATATTTTCTCTTGAGAATTTGAACTAATTTGATCAGTATTTCTCCAGTTCTTACGCACAAATTCTTACTCTGAATTCATAATGGTGGACAATGTATACTAAGTAAAAAGTAAAAAATTTATAGAATGAAAGGTGATATAGAAATGATTTCCCTACATTGTGAAGCTCTTTCATCTGGGAGTATCATGTAAATGGTATTTCTACAAATAGTATTGTTGTATAGTGTATTTGTAATACTGTGAAATACTTTATTTTAGCTGGAATTAATTTTCACTGAAAAAGTTTTTTTGGTGTTTTGTATGGAATTTATTTGCACTGAGTTTTGACGAGTTGAATGTGAGATAAAGGAAAAAAAGTATATATATTCGCTGGATTTTATTTTCACTGAAGCATCCCTAGCGAAAATAAATTCCAAGTGAAAATAAAGTATTCTACAGTAATGTTAAATAAGGTTTGTATTTATCTTGATCAACAACAGATATTGGTGCGAGGAGTCAGTGATTTCATTGATACTCTAAAAACTGCCGTTGTCTCGAATACTGAAAGTCAAGAGTCCTATAGAGAGATTGATGAGCGTGCAATGAATGAAAGTTTGGTGGAAGAAGCTGAGGTTGCCAGTAGAATGTTTGCCTTCCCACAAGCGGTGAGTTGGTCACTTTGTGTTTATGTTTTGTATTACAAGATGTTACTAAAAATAGAAGTAGACAGTGATAACGATAATTTCAAGCCAACTGCATTACTTGCTCTGACTTTTCACCCATTCTTGTGTATCCCAGGGATATAATTTCTGAACACTCTCTTCCACAGCTGTTCAAAATATCATGTTGTTATTTAAGTGTTCGCTTGTATACTTATTTGTTTGTCTGAATTGCATGTATTTATGAATAATTGATCAAATGTAACACTCAGTAACATTTGTCAACTATTCTCGGGGCAGACATCCAGGCATTTTCACCACCTGGCAATCATTACCGATGAAAACAGAAACTATAAATCTATTCTATTGCCAAGCTTTAAAACTCTCAAAAAACTATGCTTTGAATATCCCAACATGTACAACATATATAAATTTGGTTGTTCAGGATTGTCTCAAAGTTTAGTTTGTGCTGTTTTCCCAACTTTAGCTGTTTTCACCAGCTCCTTGACCAGCGTTCCATAGCTGCTTTGCACATACCAATGCATTGTACAGTGCTGTTTTCACCAGCTCCTTGACCAGCGTTCCATAGCTGCTTTGCACATACCAATGCATTGTACAGTGCTGTTTTCATCAGCTCCTTGACCAGCGTTCCATAGCTGCTTTGCACATACCAATGCATTGTACAGTGCTGTTTTCATCAGCTCCTTGACCAGTGTTCCATAGCTGCTTTGCACATACCAATGCATTGTACAGTGCTGTTTTCACCAGCTCCTTGACCAGTGTTCCATAGCTGCTTTGCACATACCAATGCATTGTACAGTGCTGTTTTCATCAGCTCCTTGACCAGCGTTCCATAGCTGCTTTGCACATACCAATGCATTGTACAGTGCTGTTTTCACCAGCTCCTTGACCAGTGTTCCACAGCTGCTTTGCACATACCAATGCATTGTACAGTGCTGTTTTCACCAGCTCCTTGACCAGTGTTCCATAGCTGCTTTGCACATACCAATGCATTGTACAGTGCTGTTTTCATCAGCTCCTTGACCAGTGTTCCATAGCTGCTTTGCACATACCAATGCATTGTACAGTGCTGTTTTCATCAGCTCCTTGACCAGCGTTCCATAGCTGCTTTGCACATACCAATGCATTGTACAGTGCTGTTTTCACCAGCTCCTTGACCAGTGTTCCACAGCTGCTTTGCACATACCAATGCATTGTACAGTGCTGTTTTCACCAGCTCCTTGACCAGTGTTCCATAGCTGCTTTGCACATACCAATGCATTGTACAGTGCTGTTTTCACCAGCTCCTTGACCAGCGTTCCATAGCTGCTTTGCACATACCAATGCATTGTACAGTGCTGTTTTCATCAGCTCCTTGACCAGTGTTCCATAGCTGCTTTGCACATACCAATGCATTGTACAGTGCTGTTTTCACCAGCTCCTTGACCAGCGTTCCATAGCTGCTTTGCACATACCAATGCATTATACAGTGCTGTTTTCATCAGCTCCTTGACCAGTGTTCCATAGCTGCTTTGCACATACCAATGTATTGTACAGTGCTGTTTTCACCAGCTCCTTGACCAGTGTTCCATAGCTGCTTTGCACATACCAATGCATTGTACAGTGCTGTTTTCACCAGCTCCTTGACCAGCATTCCATAGCTGCTTTGCACATACCAATGCATTGTACAGTGCTGTTTTCACCAGCTCCTTGACCAGTGTTCCATAGCTGCTTTGCACATACCAATGCATTGTACAGTGCTGTTTTCACCAGCTCCTTGACCAGCGTTCCATAGCTGCTTTGCACATACCAATGCATTGTACAGTGCTGTTTTCATCAGCTCCTTGACCAGTGTTCCATAGCTGCTTTGCACATACCAATGCATTGTACAGTGCTGTTTTCACCAGCTCCTTGACCAGTGTTCCATAGCTGCTTTGCACATACCAATGCATTGTACAGTGCTGTTTTCACCAGCTCCTTGACCAGCGTTCCATAGCTGCTTTGCACATACCAATGCATTGTACAGTGCTGTTTTCATCAGCTCCTTGACCAGTGTTCCATAGCTGCTTTGCACATACCAATGCATTGTACAGTGCTGTTTTCATCAGCTCCTTGACCAGCGTTCCATAGCTGCTTTGCACATACCAATGCATTGTACAGTGCTGTTTTCACCAGCTCCTTGACCAGTGTTCCATAGCTGCTTTGCACATACCAATGCATTGTACAGTGCTGTTTTCACCAGCTCCTTGACCAGTGTTCCATAGCTGCTTTGCACATACCAATGCATTGTACAGTGCTGTTTTCATCAGCTCCTTGACCAGTGTTCCATAGCTGCTTTGCACATACCAATGCATTGTACAGTGCTGTTTTCACCAGCTCCTTGACCAGTGTTCCATAGCTGCTTTGCACATACCAATGCATTGTACAGTGCTGTTTTCACCAGCTCCTTGACCAGCGTTCCATAGCTGCTTTGCACATACCAATGCATTGTACAGTGCTGTTTTCACCAGCTCCTTGACCAGTGTTCCATAGCTGCTTTGCACATACCAATGCATTGTACAGTGCTGTTTTCATCAGCTCCTTGACCAGCATTCCATAGCTGCTTTGCACATACCAATGCATTGTACAGTGCTGTTTTCACCAGCTCCTTGACCAGCGTTCCATAGCTGCTTTGCACATACCAATGCATTGTACAGTAGCGTTCCATAGCTGCTTTGCACATACCAATGCATTGTACAGTGCTGTTTTCACCAGCTCCTTGACCAGCATTCCATAGCTGCTTTGCACATACCAATGCATTGTACAGTGCTGTTTTCACCAGCTCCTTGACCAGCGTTCCATAGCTGTTTTGCACATACCAATGCATTGTACAGTGCTGTTTTCATCAGCTCCTTGACCAGCGTTCCATAGCTGCTTTGCACATACCAATGCATTGTACAGTGCTGTTTTCATCAGCTCCTTGACCAGCGTTCCATAGCTGCTTTGCACATACCAATGCATTGTACAGTGCTGTTTTCACCAGCTCCCTGACCAGTGTTCCACAGCTGCTTTGCACATACCAATGCATTGTACAGTGCTGTTTTCATCAGCTCCTTGACCAGCGTTCCATAGCTGCTTTGCACATACCAATGCATTGTACAGTGCTGTTTTCATCAGCTCCTTGACCAGTGTTCCATAGCTGCTTTGCACATACCAATGCATTGTACAGTGCTGTTTTCATCAGCTCCTTGACCAGCGTTCCATAGCTGCTTTGCACATACCAATGCATTGTACAGTGCTGTTTTCACCAGCTCCTTGACCAGCGTTCCATAGCTGTTTTGCACATACCAATGCATTGTACAGTGCTGTTTTCACCAGCTCCTTGACCAGCGTTCCACAGCTGCTTTGCACATACCAATGCATTGTACAGTGCTGTTTTCATCAGCTCCTTGACCAGCGTTCCATAGCTGCTTTGCACATACCAATGCATTGTACAGTGCTGTTTTCATCAGCTCCTTGACCAGCGTTCCATAGCTGCTTTGCACATACCAATGCATTGTACAGTGCTGTTTTCATCAGCTCCTTGACCAGCGTTCCATAGCTGCTTTGCACATACCAATGCATTGTACAGTGCTGTTTTCACCAGCTCCTTGACCAGCATTCCATAGCTGCTTTGCACATACCAATGCATTGTACAGTGCTGTTTTCATCAGCTCCTTGACCAGCGTTCCATAGCTGCTTTGCACATACCAATGCATTGTACAGTGCTGTTTTCACCAGCTCCTTGACCAGCGTTCCATAGCTGCTTTGCACATACCAATGCATTGTACAGTGCTGTTTTCATCAGCTCCTTGACCAGCGTTCCATAGCTGTTTTGCACATACCAATGCATTGTACAGTGCTGTTTTCACCAGCTCCTTGACCAGTGTTCCATAGCTGCTTTGCACATACCAATGCATTGTACAGTGCTGTTTTCACCAGCTCCTTGACCAGCGTTCCATAGCTGCTTTGCACATACCAATGCATTGTACAGTGCTGTTTTCATCAGCTCCTTGACCAGTGTTCCATAGCTGCTTTGCACATACCAATGCATTGTACAGTGCTGTTTTCATCAGCTCCTTGACCAGCGTTCCATAGCTGCTTTGCACATACCAATGCATTGTACAGTGCTGTTTTCATCAGCTCCTTGACCAGTGTTCCATAGCTGCTTTGCACATACCAATGCATTGTACAGTGCTGTTTTCACCAGCTCCTTGACCAGTGTTCCATAGCTGCTTTGCACATACCAATGCATTGTACAGTGCTGTTTTCACCAGCTCCTTGACCAGTGTTCCATAGCTGCTTTGCACATACCAATGCATTGTACAGTGCTGTTTTCACCAGCTCCTTGACCAGTGTTCCATAGCTGCTTTGCACATACCAATGCATTGTACAGTGCTGTTTTCACCAGCTCCTTGACCAGAGTTCCATAGCTGCTTTGCACATACCAATGCATTGTACAGTGCTGTTTTCACCAGCTCCTTGACCAGCGTTCCATAGCTGCTTTGCACATACCAATGCATTGTACAGTGCTGTTTTCACCAGCTCCTTGACCAGTGTTCCATAGCTGCTTTGCACATACCAATGCATTGTACAGTGCTGTTTTCACCAGCTCCTTGACCAGTGTTCCATAGCTGCTTTGCACATACCAATGCATTGTACAGTGCTGTTTTCACCAGCTCCTTGACCAGTGTTCCATAGCTGCTTTGCACATACCAATGCATTGTACAGTGCTGTTTTCATCAGCTCCTTGACCAGCGTTCCATAGCTGCTTTGCACATACCAATGCATTGTACAGTGCTGTTTTCACCAGCTCCTTGACCAGTGTTCCATAGCTGCTTTGCACATACCAATGCATTGTACAGTGCTGTTTTCACCAGCTCCTTGACCAGTGTTCCATAGCTGCTTTGCACATACCAATGCATTGTACAGTGCTGTTTTCACCAGCTCCTTGACCAGTGTTCCATAGCTGCTTTGCACATACCAATGCATTGTACAGTGCTGTTTTCACCAGCTCCTTGACCAGTGTTCCATAGCTGCTTTGCACATACCAATGCATTGTACAGTGCTGTTTTCACCAGCTCCTTGACCAGCGTTCCACAGCTGCTTTGCACATACCAATGCATTGTACAGTGCTGTTTTCACCAGCTCCTTGACCAGCGTTCCATAGCTGCTTTGCACATACCAATGCATTGTACAGTGCTGTTTTCACCAGCTCCTTGACCAGCGTTCCATAGCTGCTTTGCACATACCAATGCATTGTACAGTGCTGTTTTCATCAGCTCCTTGACCAGTGTTCCATAGCTGCTTTGCACATACCAATGCATTGTACAGTGCTGTTTTCACCAGCTCCTTGACCAGCGTTCCATAGCTGCTTTGCACATACCAATGCATTGTACAGTGCTGTTTTCACCAGCTCCTTGACCAGCGTTCCATAGCTGCTTTGCACATACCAATGCATTGTACAGTGCTGTTTTCATCAGCTCCTTGACCAGTGTTCCATAGCTGCTTTGCACATACCAATGCATTGTACAGTGCTGTTTTCACCAGCTCCTTGACCAGTGTTCCATAGCTGCTTTGCACATACCAATGCATTGTACAGTGCTGTTTTCACCAGCTCCTTGACCAGTGTTCCATAGCTGCTTTGCACATACCAATGCATTGTACAGTGCTGTTTTCACCAGCTCCTTGACCAGTGTTCCATAGCTGCTTTGCACATACCAATGCATTGTACAGTGCTGTTTTCACCAGCTCCTTGACCAGCGTTCCATAGCTGCTTTGCACATACCAATGCATTGTACAGTGCTGTTTTCACCAGCTCCTTGACCAGCGTTCCATAGCTGCTTTGCACATACCAATGCATTGTACAGTGCTGTTTTCATCAGCTCCTTGACCAGCGTTCCATAGCTGCTTTGCACATACCAATGCATTGTACAGTGCTGTTTTCATCAGCTCCTTGACCAGTGTTCCATAGCTGCTTTGCACATACCAATGCATTGTACAGTGCTGTTTTCATCAGCTCCTTGACCAGCGTTCCATAGCTGCTTTGCACATACCAATGCATTGTACAGTGCTGTTTTCATCAGCTCCTTGACCAGTGTTCCATAGCTGCTTTGCACATACCAATGCATTGTACAGTGCTGTTTTCACCAGCTCCTTGACCAGTGTTCCATAGCTGCTTTGCACATACCAATGCATTGTACAGTGCTGTTTTCACCAGCTCCTTGACCAGTGTTCCATAGCTGCTTTGCACATACCAATGCATTGTACAGTGCTGTTTTCACCAGCTCCTTGACCAGTGTTCCATAGCTGCTTTGCACATACCAATGCATTGTACAGTGCTGTTTTCACCAGCTCCTTGACCAGCGTTCCATAGCTGCTTTGCACATACCAATGCATTGTACAGTGCTGTTTTCACCAGCTCCTTGACCAGTGTTCCATAGCTGCTTTGCACATACCAATGCATTGTACAGTGCTGTTTTCACCAGCTCCTTGACCAGTGTTCCATAGCTGCTTTGCACATACCAATGCATTGTACAGTGCTGTTTTCACCAGCTCCTTGACCAGTGTTCCATAGCTGCTTTGCACATACCAATGCATTGTACAGTGCTGTTTTCACCAGCTCCTTGACCAGTGTTCCATAGCTGCTTTGCACATACCAATGCATTGTACAGTGCTGTTTTCACCAGCTCCTTGACCAGCGTTCCATAGCTGCTTTGCACATACCAATGCATTGTACAGTGCTGTTTTCATCAGCTCCTTGACCAGCGTTCCATAGCTGCTTTGCACATACCAATGCATTGTACAGTGCTGTTTTCACCAGCTCCTTGACCAGCGTTCCATAGCTGCTTTGCACATACCAATGCATTGTACAGTGCTGTTTTCACCAGCTCCTTGACCAGCGTTCCATAGCTGCTTTGCACATACCAATGCATTGTACAGTGCTGTTTTCACCAGCTCCTTGACCAGTGTTCCATAGCTGCTTTGCACATACCAATGCATTGTACAGTGCTGTTTTCACCAGCTCCTTGACCAGCGTTCCATAGCTGCTTTGCACATACCAATGCATTGTACAGTGCTGTGCGTCTTAGTAACATAGAACATTCTGTGATGTAGAATATCTTAACATCACAGTGAAACCTACTTTATTTTTTGCCAAACTTAATTCCTGTTTGCAGGCATTTCAAAATTTAGGGCTTACAGATTGAGTTCTGTGTATGTATGCTCACACAAATATGCATGAACTTTTTTATCTGATTCTTGCCAAAACGGTGTATAGCCGATTGACAAAAATACACAATAAAATAGCTTAAATTCAAAAATGAATGACTAGCAATCATGTTATGTGGCAATTTTTGTGTTTGAAGATGCCCTCTAGATAGTGTCTATTTCAGTTGACTTCTTTTCAATAGTAGGAGAAAATGCTGCAACCATGGAATTTAATTAAGTCTATTTTTTTTTGTGTTTTATAAATGTCCCTCTGGTGTCAGGAGTTACAAATTCTTTCATTTCCAGCTATACCATTCCCCAGTTGAAAATATGATGGCCATGTATCAACATGAAATTGATTACAACTCTGATGATTGGTATCCATGGCAACTTGCTGGAGATAAAGTAGATAGTGGTAAAAATAGTGACAATCTAGGATCTTTATTGGGACCAAGATCTCAGGGAGATGGCTGTGATGTTAGTGAACCAATGAAGGAAGTTGGTAGGTGCAAGGAATCATGGGATATTGTCTATTATTGATCATTTATATGTAAAAACTTTGCGGTCAATTCATTGTCCAAAATTCTGATCTGCCTGGTATTTATTTTTATTTATAAATTGTTTTTATTAAAAAACTGATTTTATTCAGTTTGTTATATGACAAATTGAATTTTTTCTTTTTTTTTTCTTAAAATACAACCACAAAAATACTGTAACTTGCAAATTTGTAACTCACAACAATTACATAGTCAATTGGTTTTGAGGATAGTATTACCTTGTAACTTGAAATATATTTTTGGAGTATGTTTTAATGGCCTGCAGGTACTCAAAATGTGTCTTTGTGTCAAAGTGTAGAAAAACAAAACTTTATAATTGATACATTAAAAAGGGTTTATTCAGTTCTCATCAGAGGATGCACACATAGCCAATATTTTGAATAATTTCGACCTTCATTTTCAACAATTTTCAAACCTTTCACTTACACCAACCATGCACCAACTTATTAATATCAGAAGTACTTGTAGGTAGCGTCTCTGAATGTTTTTTTATTGCAATTACCAGTATATATCACTTCTAACTTCTGACCAATTAAATATACAAATAGCTTTCTCTGTAATTGTTTGACAAATTCCATCGTAATTTGTACAATTAAATCAGATGTACCGTAGTTAGAGGTAAGGTACACTGATGACCATCCATTTTATTTGAATTATATTAGTGATATTATCATGTTTTCATGTTTGTTTGTTTGTTTGTTTGTTTGTTTGTTTTTTTTGCTGTTTTTTTTTTCCTTTAGCTTTCTGCCTTTGAGTGCTTTATTTTGCTGTTTGCCAGAAATATCATTTTTGATTCAACAGAAAAAAACAATTATTTTTGTTCCCCACCAATTCGCTTGTAAATGCTTATATAATAATTATTAGAATTATAAATGAATAATTAAACAAAATTATCACACACTACCTTTAATACAGGAAAAATGGAATAATACTTCTGTTTTCCGTTTGGAATTTTTTTTTTTCATCTAGGTTTGGAGACATCTGAGATTCCATTGGCGATGCTTACACAGTGTATATTATGTGAAACTTTTCAACATTGTCACAATTCATGGTTAGTGTTAGACAATATACAGCATATCATGACCACTATAACAGGAAAACTGTTCCATAGGTAGGTATTATTTATAAAATTTAGAATGCATCAAAGAAATAAAATTTGAAAGAAGTCACTTTCTTAGAAACAAATGACAAGGCTGGGTAGATTGAAATGTGAGATGAGAATGGAATTATGAGCATA